ACTATTGGTCAAGTAATTGATTATTTTCGACGCGAGTATCCTACAATTACTGCGGAAAAGTCACAATTAATATTTCACTCTCTGACCCAGGGCAATGATCCAGTAAATCGTTTTTATTCAAAATTAAAAAGATTGATTAAGCAAGCTTATCCCGCATTAGCAGAAGCGAATCAGGAGGAGTTAGTTAGACAACAATTCTTTAAGGGAATCTCACATGATAATAAATTAGAAGTAACTCGTATCGGTCTTGAACATCCGATTTCTACCTTAATACGGAAATTAGAAGAAATTGAAAGACGGAAGGCGGAATTGATGTTAGGGCAGTACGACCCCAATTCCCACCCAGTCACCTCTCATTCACAATCTAAAGCTAATACAAAAGATTCTTATAACACAGGTATGACCAAAGAAGAAATTGAAAATCTAGTGAAAGACATTGTGGCATCTTCACAATCTCAACCTGTTTCTTTGCAGACGGCTTCACAATCTCAACCTGTTTCTTCCCAGACAGCTCCTCAATTGCAAAATAGGCAGTTGGTACGACCCAGTCAAATGGAACCAGGTAAAATATATCGGGATCCTAATTTACGCTTGAATGACCCAGAATGGCTTCGAATGGATGAAGCGACAGATCGTCTTAGCGCTTTAGCGGGTCCATCCACTTTACAATCATTAATAGATACAATTACTAAAGGAGTAATCGATAAAGTTTCTTCCGTCTTGCCTAAGAAAAATGGGGGGAATGTGTCAAAAAACGCTGAAGTCGACTCAGATGAAGAACTGGCTAATCGCATGAGTAAATTATCGATAAATAAAGCTATATCTAGACAGGTCAAGAAGGAACTTAAGAAAACATCCCAGCGCAGATGCTCAAATTGTAGTAGGACAGGTCATAATTCTCGTAATTGTAAATATAAAAAGCGAAGGTCTAAGAATAGATCCAAAAAAATAGGTAGCGTTAATAAGGTCACTGTAGATTCAAGCTCTGAGCCAGGTTCAGATACTAACTCTTCTGATAATGATTCTGGTTTCGATTCTTCTGATAATGAATCTGAGTCTGGGGAGACTTCATCTGAAGTTGAAAGTATGAACGTTAACATCAGCAAGATAAAAAAAAAGTAAAGAAATCTGGTCCCGTACGGGTCTCACGAAGTAAGGATGCTTACGCATCTAAATCATCCTCTACCATACGGTCTAAAAAGAAGTCTAGTCCAAAGAAGAGACAGAGTCTCGAGTCTCCGATTCAACGTACTTCACAAAAAAAATCAGGTACGATTATCGATTCACAAATTCGAAGAATTATTCTAGCTATGTTTAACGATCCAGAGGTTATAGAAACGATTAAAAACAATATTAATAATACGAATGTATCTATTGCAAAACCTGACTTTATAAATTATCGAGAGCCGGCTCCAGAAATACCCAATTCGGATGGGGAGGATGAAATGCTAGATGATCCTATGGAGATAGATTTCGTCCGTCGGAAAGAACCGATAATTAGTATTGCGACTATACCAGTTAAAATCAAACGCTTAAAAATTCCGGCATTGGTACTAGATAGTGGCGCTGAACCTGCAATCGTATCAGAAGATATTGTTAAACGTGTAGGCGGGAAAATAGATACGTCGGAAATATATGATCTTAGTGGTGTTGCTACTGTTCCAACAGAATCTGTTGGTATTACTCATAATTTGCCAATAACATTTTCTCCAGGTTTTACTATACGTGAAGATTTTGTAGTTGTACGAGTTCCCAAACCGACATTAATATTCCCAAATCCGCTTCTCAAAAAATATAAATGTGCTGTAGACTGGGGTAATGATAAAATGAAGATTCATTATAATGGAGAAGATTTTATTATTCCGGTTACTATGCACAAAGTCAAGAATAAGCTCGAAGTAAATTGCGCTACCGCATCTCAGAATGATAAGCCATTGGTATCTGATCAAATTTCCCAGAAGATAGACGGTGGTGAGGATGACAATATACCGTTCGAAAAGTGGTGTGCTCCTGCGGGTTTTAGCTCAGATTCTGACAATTCGACTTTTAAAAAAAACGCATGAGTTATGAGGAGTTGGAAAAATCGTTATATGAGGTACTCGAATCCAATGTTAAATTAATCGAACTCAATAAAAAGTTGCGGGTTTGCCGAAGGCAGTCACACAGTGATTATAAAAACGAATCTGATAACTTAAATGAAAAAAATACCAATATAGATAGAGGAAGCGAAGATAGATTAATTGGAATTTGCTGAAAGCAGTCACTTTGTGGCTAAAATTCTTTCTGTTTCACATTCGGCTTCTTCCATTTCTTTGCGATTCTGCTCGATCAGAACATGTAGGTCACTCAACTCTCCTACTTTTTTTGTTGGTTTATGAATCATAGATCGTGATTTACTATTTTTAACCCGCTTATTCGAAGTGACAATAGAATCTAGATGCAAAGTATCTTTAAATAAGTGGGGTCAGAAATTGGGAGGAGCTAATAACGAAATCCAGAAATTACGTATCCATGATCTGGAACTTATTGATGAGACTAGGCGTTTGCAGATTGAAAATGCTCGCAAAGATATTTCTCTTGCAGAATCCAAGGCTAAGCATGCTATAAAATTAGAGGAGATTAAATCGCTTCGGAATGAAATGAAATTATTGAAGGGTAAGTTAGATTTATCCCAAAAAGACTCATCAAAAAAAGGGTCTGAAATCGAGTCTCTCAAGTCTAAGATAGTTGAATTAGCCTTGAAAATTAGTGAGTTGGAGCGTCTGAAATCTGTGGATATATCGGGATCTATAATTGGTGGAGATGATAAAAAAAATATATCAAATTCTAATAATATTTCTATAGTTAGTGAACCTAGTAAAAGTCTTAGACAATATTTTATATCCGGAAAAAATATGGATCCAATAGAAAAAATCGATGATAATATATCAACATATACCAATGATGAGATTACCGAATTATCAAAAAATGATACCGCAATTAGTCCTAAGATAAATGAGGAAACTAACATTAGCGAAATTAATAAGGACATTATACCCCGATCTCAAGAAATACTGAATGTGACTCCTTACCTTGCACAACCAGAAAATAACATGTCCTCATTGATAGGAGGAATTGGAGCGATCCCTGTGGCAAGCACATTGATGTCACCACTATCGGCATATATTTTTCTTACTCTGTTAATTATTGCCGTTATGTGGTTCGTGGTATTGAGACGCACGTGGGGGTTGGAGAGGAAAAGTGATCGGTTGCGGGATGCGTGGACTAGGTATTAGGAATTATCTATTTAAACTTGGGATTTATTTATGTACGAAAAATATTACCTTTTTAACCATATCTATAGTTATAATGCGACATATATGGGATGTCTAGGAAAAGAACATATCTCAAAATTATTCACACCAATAATATGACTCGCATTTTATTTCATTGATAATACCAATATTAAACATACATTTTTCTAATTCTTGCAGTTTA